CTTTGCAAAGCTATATTTTCCGCATTTTACAACATTTCGCAACCTAACTTTGCAATTTCTAACTTTGCAACTTTGCATTTTGCAACCTAAATTTTAGTATGCTCTTTCTCGCTGTGGTGATATATTTAGCTATATCTCCTTGCCAAGTTTTAAAATTTAAATAGTCAATAATTGGAATTGTCTATTGATGTGTTGTCGTTTAATGTCAATAATTCCCACCACGTTCTATTTTTAATCCTCTTATCTATTTTCTTTCTATTTCTTTTTATATTCTTGGCCCATTTCTTTTACATCTGCATTCTATTCCTTCCTCCTTGTCTTAGTTTTACCAGTCTTACCTAGGCCTAATGGTACACACTCTATGTATGATAACCCAGAACAACTTTCGCTGACCGAAGCATTAATTGAACACTGGGATAAATATTTCTCTCTACCATTACAATTTGTACTTCCAGAAAATGTTTCATCTTTTGCATCCACTGGAGTGGACACATTAACAAGAGAGTATGCTCTGGCGTATCCCAGGTAACGACAAACAGTATGCTTTGCGTAGTAAATTAAACTTTGCCAACAAACATTCTTGGTCTCACCCTCAATGATAATTTGTACAACACCTTTGTAAGGTAGAGATGAATATGATAAAGACACGTCATGAACTATACAAAAGCACAAAAAAACAAGATTATTAGCTATCTCGCCCAGTGGATGTATCTGATATGTATGGTACCATGCATATGGAAATTGTATACCAAATTGAGGTTGAACAGAACATTTTTCAAACACTATGCATGGGAACTTGTTTTGCGCGCAAACCCTTAAGAGAAGTTGAAACTACAAGTTGTAATCATCAATAGAACCATAGTTATATCCATGCGTACCACAAAGTTCAATAAAAGGTTTCGCAGCATCAACACATTGATATTCAAAGTAAACATAGTTTGTCAATCCAGGACATAGATTATCAGAGAACAAATTGTCATCCACAATTATACTGCATTCATGTAGACCATCACAGTGTTTCTTAACAAGACATGTTACATCAACTTCACAACTATAATCGTCACTTGAACCACATGTCTTTGCGCCAAGCAATCCACGATAAGATGCAAACTTGACCACCATGTATTGATCTTTAGGACAGTTGGCATTCTTCACATTATCACCATAACATGTCACCGAACCTTTAATGGAGGAATAATTGGGTTTTTTTGAAAACTCTGTCAAGCTATAATATTTTTGAGAAAAAATATTTTCATTTTGTTAAGCGCAATGTCAATATGACATAATTACTTAAGCCAAAATGATGTTTTGATCTGGTGGATAGTATTAATGTTGTGTTTGTGTCTAGGGGGGAAATTTGTGAAGCTAATGGATCTTAAAGTTTGCTCGTTCACTGTAACCAGGTATATCAATAATACTCTGGTTTAAATAATGATTACAAAACCCAGTCGAATTGTAATCAAGACCCAACGTTTCGACACTCCAGTCTAGTGTCTTCATCAGGGGTGATCTAAAGTTACAATCGTGGCTTCTTAAATACCCAAAAAATGACGTCACCTGCCAATGAGATGCATGTATTCCTCTGGCAAAGAGGCACTGTCATCCCTATTCAAAGCATGATTACGCATATTTATATGCCACGCTTCTAGGCAAAGTCATTGACCATAGCGATTGTTTGTGATGATTACTTTAGAGTTTTCCCACGCAATCTCGTGTTTGGTGTAACATACATGTTCTGCTAAAGCTGATTTTCCCTTCTCTAAAGTTGAAAAAGTCTTTTGATGTTCTTTTAGCCGTGTACCGAACTGGCGTTTAGACAGACCCAAATACTCTTTCATGGAGTTTCAACTTTTTGGCGAAAATGTTGTCCCCTGTGGTGAGAAATACCGAAAACACTGTCAAAAATTCCTGTTATTTTGCAGAATTTGCAAGAGGTAAAATTCTTAAAGCAGATAAAGTGTTGGTATCATTTGATGTCGTTTCCTTCTTTACATACATCCCATGCAGTTGATCTTGCCATCAAGGTTGCGACAAAAAGACTAAGACAGGATGCCACTTTGTTACAAAGAACATCCTTGCTTGTAGAAGATAGTATTGATCTTCTGTCTTTTTGTCTCAACACCACATACTTTGTGTTTGAGGGCTATTATTATCGGTTTTGGAACAGCGATGGAGTCACCAGTTTCGGCAGTAATTGCTAATTTAGTAATGGAAGCTGTCGAACAAAGAGCTTAAGCCTCTGTTCCGGTATCTCTATCGTTTTTGAAACGTTTCGTTGATGATGTCATCTCTGCGGTTTCTAGAAATGAAATCGATATTCTGCTGCAACATTTAAATTCTATTGAACGGTCCATCCAATTCACGGTAGAACGTGAGATAAATGGACAATTTACCTTTTTTAGATTTGAATGTTCACAGAACTGTCAAAGGGAAGTTAATTAGAGAATGTTTATCGCAAACCCACACACACAGACACACACGCCATAAAACATCCGTAGCAAAAGCCTTGATTGAAAGAGCTGAATCCTTGCCGTCAATCAGTGATTCTCAACCTAATGAACGTGAATATGTTCTAAATGTTGTAGGGGAAAACGATTACCCAAAACGTTTT